ATGGAGACTCTGGTGCGGGAGAAGGGTGTCAACTCGTTCCAGATGTTCATGACCTACAAGGACTTGTATATGCTTCGAGACAGTGAGCTGTACCAAGTGTTACACGCTTGCAAGGACATTGGGGCAATTGCCCGAGTCCATGCTGAAAATGGGGAGCTCGTGGCTGAGGCAAGGCAGCAGAGAATGCTGGGGCATGGGGGTACCAGTAGATACAGTTCTTGAGGGAATTCCTGACCACCCATCACCCCTCCAATTAGGCTCCAGCAAAGCAAGTTGTAAAAGGAAGTGTGAGATGTGAACACTCCAGGTGACAATTCTTTGTCAAAAATCCAAACTTTTGCGCAATCTGTCAAAAAACTAATCTCTGTATATCCAAAAGGATTTCTCAGTCTTAGATGTCTTAGTTCTAGTACTATATTTACATGTCATTGTAGCTAAAGAATTTGAAACATCTCTCAGAAATATTTTAATGGGATTTGACTTACAGAATAAATAAGAACAGTTTTCCTCTGTCTTGTTCCTTCCCCGAGAGGCTGGAATAACATAGCGGTCAGCTCACTGGTACCCAGAGAGATGAGCCCGTTTGTGTCTCTAGGTGTTAAATGGGCACAACTAAGGATGTTGCTGGAAGCTAGAGTCAACTAGGTTTCCAGTGAGGAAATTCTGATTCTTACAGTCACAAAAACTGGTGTCCCAGACCTGTTAACTATTCACTGAACTGCATTTTAAGATGAAAAGAATGTTCAGTCATTGTGACGGGAGACACATGAAGAGCTTTACTGCAAGGGAGTCCTGTGCTTATTCTTCCCTCATTAGATGAGTGTCCCAGACGTGAGGACAGTAGCTGGCCGAAGGGGGAGGGCTGTGTCTAGCTGCCTGCTGTCCCGTGGGTCCTGTGTTTTCTTGCATCTCAAGTGTTTTCTTTCTGTTGTTATTCTTCAGGGTGCGAAGGAAGCACTAGATTTGGGTATCACAGGCCCAGAAGGAATCGAGATCAGCCGTCCAGAGGAGGTGAGCAAATGTCCTGTGTCGACTGTAGAGCCACAGAATCTTTTAGAACAGAAGAGTCACCAACGAATATAAGTTGAATTGTGTTCACTTTCCCCATGGGCAAATTCCTATCTGGAAGCTTCCCAGGGAATAGCTTCCTCTATGCCGAAGCCAACCTGACCTTGAGTTTCCTGGAGAAGAGTTTGGTGGGAACCAGACCACTTGACTCAACTCTGATTTCAGCAAGTTAGAGAAGACAAAGTCAACCTTCCAGGGGTTGCTCTGCCCAGAATTGATTGGAAGAAAAAAGGCAGAGTGAAAAGGTCTTTGTTAGAAGAAAGCCCAGACTATAAGACTTAGCATTTGAAGGATGAAATCCCCATGAGTGTCAGAGAACTTTACACAGCTCTCCCCACAGAAAGGAGACGCTCTTCCCCCTATTCCTTACGGCCCCTGAGACGGCAGCGTGACAGCGGCTCTGCTCCTGCCTCTGTCTCATCCATGCACAGTTGTGCCAGGTTTCCACACAACTCCCTGAGCCCCTCAACCGAAGAATTCTGTTCTGGAGGAACCCACGAGACAGACAATGCTCTCTTACCCTATGACCCAGCTCAGACATCCTTTACCATGCGGGAGAGGCCCGGGGGACACTTGGCAGTGTTTAGATGCATTTGGGGTGGTCCCAAGTGGGACAGGGACACTGACATAGGCCACAGCCACCCGCTCTTTGCAGTTGACCTTCAGTGGCTGCCCCCCGAGATGCTGCTTTCTTCAGTGGGCCATAGGAAGCCACTGAAGCCACCTGGCACTTGGCCACTGAGAACATGGTGTGGCTTTACCCAGGACAGCCCTGTGGATATTTCTGGTCTGCAGTGGGTAGAGGCAGGGATGCAGCTAACAATACCCAGAGAGCTCCACCCCAAAGAATTTTCCTCCAAAAAGATCAGTAGTGCGGAGGTTCAAAAACCCTGATCTAAGCTAACTTCCAGCTTGAGATCAGTTGGGAGTGTGCCTTTGATGCAACTCTTGAGGTGGCTTTTGGGGGAAATGTGCCAGACAGTGGAGACAGTAACTGTCTGTACCAGACGGTTTCCTTTTGTTCCACCATCTTCATTAAGCCCCTAGTAGCATCTGGCCAGATGTGCCTGGGGTACTTCATCCTAGGATGCTCTCAGTGTGGGTGGGCTCACCCCGGAGCCAGGCCCTGCAGGTGCTCTGTGTCAGCTGTTCCAGCTCCTTCTACAAGCTGGGCTCTCAGGCAGGTGTGGGTTTCCTTGGGGAAGATGATCAAGCTTGTTTTCTTCCTGTCCTGTGTTCCTAACAGCTGGAAGCTGAAGCCACGCACCGAGTCATCACCATTGCAAACAGGGTGAGTGGGCCCCGGCGCGCTGAGCCTCTCTCGACTTTGAGATTGGACCTGCTTGTACCGCGGGGTCCTGTTCTGTGGTGGGGCCAGCACCATACCTGCCTCGCAGGACCACCAAACCTTGATTGCCCCAGGCTGGCAGGAGCCCCCTTGCCACTGACTCTGCATTGCACCTGCTGAGCTTGCTGGACCTTCGTTCAAATGGAAACGACTCGGGCGGTGGGCACAGAGCCTTGCTGCCCTAGAACCTGGTTCTCTGAACAAATAGGGTAGACGTTGGCCCAGAGAACCCTGATTAAAGCTCTACCTGTGGCCATTCCTGTTTCCTTGGGATGGTGAGAGTGAAGCACTCAGGCGTAGACCCAGTGCAGTGGCAGGTGGGAAAGAGCAAGAGGTGTGGGTGCAGTCACTCAGCGGCTCTGACCTGCTGATTTAATACGTGACATTGAATGATAGCCTCACTCCTCATGGGTGCGCAAGAAGTCGTAGAAGGGAGACAGCCAAGCACTACTCAAAGGTTATTTCTCCTTCAAAGCTTCATGAAGGGTTTGATTTACTCAGATACTCAGAACTACCTCCTCTAGGGCCCTGGTTTTCAAAGTGTGGTTCCTGGGCCAGACCATTGGCATCACTGGCTAGAAATAGGAAATCCTCGCCCGCAGCCCACGCAGCCCCCCGGAGTCAGAGACAGGATTCTCATGGCCTTCACCTTGAGAACCTCTTTCAGAAAGACCAAGCCATCCTGAGGATGTGGCGTGAGGGAGCGGTATAGCAAAACCCCGGGGAAACGAAGAGGGTGGAGGCCCAGCTGGTCTCAGCTGACTGCACCCAGCACGCCAAACCTCAGGCCAGTTTAAACCGATGGCTAGGCGGAGACGGTCCTAGCATAGCAGCTGGGAAAAAGCTTCCGTTCACAGTTTATACATGGACAGTATTTCACTCTCGTAACAATTACCAGTTTATCAATCCCTGATAGAAACTGACCCCAGAATCAGGAAGATCTGAACCACAAAAGCTCAACTCTTTGTTTTTTCAGTTCCAAGCCATGAACTTGTGCATCTCAGTGGGGAGAAAGCTGATCAGCTGACAGCACAGGGGTTTCCCAGATTGCCCCATCCTGCTGCTGTGGCCTCTGGGCCCTGAGGCCCTAATGTCTTGTGCCTTGTACATCTGTCTCCCAGCAAAGCAGCCCTGAGAGGACAGGCATGTTATCCTAGCTGGGGATATAACGCCGTGTCTCTAGGGCCTCACCCTCCATGCAGGAAATTAAAATAGTCACGTGTTTCAAGGCACAGTCTTCGGCTGGTAGAAAATGTGAGGTTCAGGACTTGCCCTGTTGGGCTCTGGTGCTGGGTGCCCCTGGGCCCCCTCCCTGCTTCATGGAGATCCCCAGTCTGCCGGGAGCTCGTGCTCCCCTCTCCAGGCCAGTCCTGATAGTAGAGGCCGGGGAAGTACGTTTTGTCAGGTTGTCTTGGTGCTTCTTAGATTTGCCAGGTTGGACTCTCCTGGCTGTGTTTCCTGTGTTTTAGACTCACTGTCCCATTTACCTGGTCAATGTGTCCAGCATCTCGGCTGGTGACGTTATTGCAGCTGCTAAGATGCAAGGTGAGTCCCTGGGCTGGGGGCGGGCGGCGGTTAGGGCAGTACACGCGGGGTGGGGTTGCCACCTCCCGCCCAACCTTTCCCCAGAGCAAGCCACACTTACCTGGGTTCAGGCCCGTAAGACCGAGGCTTTCCTCTGCTCGCTTGTATGCGCGGCAGCTTTGGGAAGAGCCTCTCTCCTCTCCTGGGTCTGGTAAAATGTTCCAAGGTTTCTATTGTCTCATTAATTGGTATCTTTGGGGTCTCTGGTTTTACTAGTGGTGGCCTTGTAGCATAAAATGCTGGGTCAGTTCCAGGGGACGTGGCTGCAGCTGCTGGGGAAGCCCCAGGGGCAGCAGCAGTGAGTGGCCAGCCCAGCCTCCCTCGGCTGCGGTCACTGGAGCCCTGTGTGGGAGCCCTGGGTACCCTTTGTCTCCCTTTGCTGAGCACCGGTGACCCTGCAGGCTTGGGATCTGCCTGCAGCCCTAGCTGGCCCCGGGTGCCCACGCGGTCCTGGCAACAGAAGAAACAAAATCACAAACCTGAAAACAGCAATCAGGAGCAGGGCTTCGGGCCTTTCCCCACACTGCCTGGCACGCCCCGCCTCCTGCCTCCCCCTGTGAAGCCCGTGGGCGTCCACCCTCGTGGTCACCCAGCCTCCTGACTGTCCCCCCACCCCCCCATTCATAGCCCCGCTACGGCCCCACCCACAGGCTGAAGCTGCTGGCAGCACGCGGCCCACTGAGCGAATAGTGAACCCACCCGCTAGGGGCACCACAGCCCTGTGCCCTCCAGCCCTTCTCCCGCTGGCGACTGCCACACCTGCCACCTTCCACCCTCCTCGCCTGGAGCCGACCTGAGGAGAGGGAGCTTCTGACCTTGAGCACAGGAGAGCCAGGCCAGCGCCTTCCTCTCCCGCTCAGCGCGCTTACCTGTCAGACAGCCGCTCAGACCCGCAGGCGCTCGGTTCCGTGGCGCCTCCTCATGTCCAGCGCTTCTCCTTCCAGGGAAGGTGGTGCTGGCCGAGACCACCACGGCCCACGCCACGCTGACAGGCCTGCACTACTACCACCAGGACTGGTCCCACGCGGCCGCCTACGTCACGGTGCCTCCCCTGCGGCTGGACACCAACACCTCGACCTACCTCATGAGCCTGCTGGCCA